CCTCGGGACCAGCCTGGCACGGACGAGTGGCGTAGCCAGGGTGTCTCATTGAGGGAGTGATCAACAGTTTATCTCAAAGCCAGGTAGCAGTGGTATGCATGATTGCAGACGTTCAACAGAAAATTCAGTGTTACTAACAGTATACCTTCGGCTGTGTGAAGAATCGGAGAGGCTCGGACTAGGAACGAAGAACGAGAACGAAGACTTGAGATTGGGTCAAAGACTAGAGAACGATATTCGACGGGGAGCGTATTAATACGCTGATTGAGATGGAGAATCAAAGGAGAACGTGTCTGACGCATGTAACGGGTGATTGCATATGTAAAAGAAAGGGACGAGTACGTACGAGAGTGACGTCGATAGTCATATCTTGACAGGCTGTCTAGGGGAGACTATAACAGTACCGGTACGAGACAACTTTGTGTCAAATGATAGCAGTTCAAGCGAGTTCCCACTGTTCCCCGTGCTCCGTGTAGAGGAGCTCCTTCACATTCTCACCGCTCACAGACAAGGAAGACCCCACGGTGAAGTTGGTCAAAAGGGTACTGAAAGTCAACTCCGATAGGGGAGCAAGTGAGAGAATCACTTGAGCGGTGGTGGCATTGACGTTAACGGACAGATCGGTGGTAGTCAACTTGATAACGATCTTGTCAGGGCCAATCATGACGGTCCCTGCAGTATCGTTAGCGGTGCGACTAACGATGAAGCGAGTGCGTTCGGTGCGCGAAACATAGACGGCCTTTGTCGCGTTAGAGTTAGACGATTGGGGATAGTACCAATAGTCGTAAGGAGCAACTTTGGAGCGAATGAAGAAACTTTGGTGGGGTCGCTATCAGCCAAATGTGGAACATGCCGCGAGGAACTAACTCACGAGTTTCCGCTGATGTGGTCCGCGAAATGTTCAAGCTGTGGGATAATGCTCGTGTTGCGACCAACTGTGTCATTCAGCAAGGTGAAAAACACCTTGCCGAGGAATTGGGTCGCAACTCCAGTCGTGGTGAGGGTGTCGGTGACGCTTGCCACGAGATTGTTATGGGTGTAGAACTGGGCGTTGACACGCTGAACACTAGTCACGAAAGTAGTGACGGTGGAAGTGGACACGGCACGCCACCACTCATCGGCAACTTCGCGGCTAGAAAAGGTAATCACGTATCGAGCGCTCCAGTTGTCCGTAATCTCAATGGCGATTTAGCTCGCCACTGCAGACATCGAAGAATGAATTTCAGGCGTACCTGTTTAACATATGCGTGGAAAACCATGACTGTATATTCAATATGAGAGATGATTTGTTGGTTGTGGTTGGATTGAAATGAGTCGTTCGAACACTATACATTATATAGAGAGAGAAAGTTGTTTGGTCGGGTTGATCATAACATCTCGATTCTCGAACAACTGCGGGGTGGATAAAGAAATACTGCCGATCCGAACGAGGACCTGATGTAAGATACATTGGACCGTAACGTCGCACCAAACTGAACATTCCGTCTGCATTTCTCGGTACCTGAGGCCTGAAGATGCACAAAGTCAGCAACCTGGTCCGACAGGTGTGTAAAAATAACAACCGGCATTGAATATTGATCCCCCTGACTTCTTGACAGCTTTAATGTATGTCTTCACGCTTCGACAATATCATGTTGCCTGTTCCTTTGGCAGAAAGATAGACATGCCACTGGAGTGGTGTCCAAGAAGGGATGTTCTCTAGTTACTACATGCGTGATGGCTAACTGCTGACAAACGCTGCAAACACCGGCAAGCTCCGTCACGTGCCTCTGCGACCTCCCTGGGGTCCCCCACTCCACCAGTCACCACTGTGATAATAAGGACAGCTGGTCCAGGGGAATCAAGACTATATTTAATGCCGCTTGTGATTTTTACACACCTGTCGGACGAGGTTGCTGACTTTGTGCATCTTCAGGTACCGAGAAATGCAGCCTGACGGAATGTCCAGTTTGGTGCGACGTTACGGTCAAATGTATCTTACATCAGGTCCTCGCTCGGGTCGGGAGTTTTCTTTTTGAATCAAATTTATTGTCCTTTGGGGTCAGGGACCCTATGTTGGACATAGCCCTATTCGCAGGGGGCTTACTCCCGCCTAAACTAATGTAATGTAATGGGTAGTCACCGTTATAATGCATTCAGTACAGTGTTCGAACGACTCGTTTCAATCCAACCAACCACAGCCAACAAATTATCTCTCCTGCTGAATATACATTCATGGTTTTCTACACATATGTGAAACAGGTACCAAAATTCATGCTTCGTTGTCTGCGATGTCGTGCTGTTCAGATACAGACAACGGGACCTATCGATAAATTACCTGATGTGCCGGGCCTGAAAGTCCTGGCTTAGGCCTGGCTTGGCCTGAAACCCTGCCATCATGCCAGGCCATATCAGAGGGCCTGGGCTTGGCTCAGGCTTGGCCTGGACCTGGAAAACTCGAGCCAGGCCCCAGGTTTTTACAAGCTAGCAGTGTAGGCCCGGCTTGGCCCGGCCTAGTGAGGGTCTGGCTGGCATATCACTAAATTTTTGATTTACCTTTGCTAGCCGCGAAGTTGCGGATGAGTACTTGAGTGGTGGCGTGCCGTGTCCACTTCCGCCGTCACTAGTTTCGTTACCAGTGTTCAGCGTGTCAACGCCCAGTTCTACACTCATAACATTCTCGTGGCAAACTCCGCCGACTTCCTCACCACGACTGGGGTTGCGACCCAATTTCTTGGCAAGGTGTTTTTCACCTTGCTGAACGACTTAGGTGATTCTTTCACTTGCTCCTTTGTCGGGGTCGACTTTTAGTACCCTTTTGACCAACTTCACCGTTGGGCCTTCCTTGTCTGTGGACGGTGAGACCGTGAAAGAACTCCTCTACACGGAGAATGGGGAAGAGTGGGAACTCGCTTGAAATGGCTATCATTTGAAACAAAGTTGTCTTGTACTAGTACTGCTGTAGTCTCCCCGTTATGCATTTATGAAGAAAGGAAGGAATTGGTTCTCGTACTGTTGGTAACGCTAGGAAGCAATCGCATTTTTTGTTGAACGCCTGCCATCACGTATGACCTTGAGATACATGAATCCTTTTAGCATCAACAGGCCTCTCTACCAACCTATGACAACAGTGTTTAGAGTTACCTCTTTCACTAACAGCTGGATGATTGATGAGTGCATCGATGAGTGTTGATCATTACGTACTACGATTGCTCTGACCGACGTGCCCAGCTCGACGTTGAAACGTTGATGAGTCAATCAAACTTCTGGTTGGGATTGTCTGAAACAAGCAAGTATCATGTCGTTTTGGCGAGGCCAGGTCCTACTAATAGCGTACCGTGACTGTTACTAGAAACACGACCTTATTAGTTTCGTCATCCGTCGTTCAACAAAGGTGATGGGCGTCCGCACCTGGCCAGTGGCTGCACTCGGGTACATATCATCCGTTGCCACACGTGTATGGCTCGACGTAGAGGAATTCAAAGGCCACCGAGTCCCGACCAAGTAATTTCGACTTGAAAACGGCGAATCATATGGAAAGCCAGACAACCGTGCTCAACTTTGACAATGCAACTTCTCCCGATACACCATATAAGGCAGGTAGCTTCTGTAGGACCTTGAACACCCCTTCTAAGAATCCCCGACTACCTTGTTTACAAGCGACAAACACCGTTATAATTAAATAATGCTTCGTCATATACGGTACAACTTTGTACAAGGTAGATAATAGTATCAAAAAAAAAGTAGGTTACCATTGATCAGTCTCAGCATCATCTTCCGAGTCATCATCTGAGAAACCCCAAATAACAAGACCGTCATGCTCGACGACGGCATCACCATCAACAGACTTGGAGACGTCAGGCTCGTCCTCCGCCATGAGGCTGTCTAACCGTTGGTGGTGTGCTGCATCTAATATCGAAAGGTCAGTCAAACAGGAGGCTCGAAAGGATTAGACTTACTCAGCCCCAACCCACCACCTAGTGATGGCCAGGTCCGGTCCTGAACCACGGTTCGAACCCGAACCGTTTCGAACCTGACCAAAGTCCGGTTCAAAGTTCGGGCAATAGGGGGAACCGAACCGTCGGTCCAGTCCACGGTTCGAGGACTTGCAGAATTCTCGAACCTGGTTCGAACAGGTCCAAACAGGTTCGAACCGATTGTCAAGTAATAAGGGATGGTACAAAAATTTCGATCTCCAGACTTACATGGGCCAGGCGCAGTGCAGAGTGCATATTATGTAACACGGCTGTGCTCATCGTCGATGATGATGACAAGAAAATCAGCAATTTTCGAACACTGTCCTGCTCACCCCAATCGTATACCACCACAACGCCGGCGGCAACTGCGAAACGGCAAGTCAATGTTGGATCCAGACCTCTTGATGGGACAAACCTGTCAAATAGCTGACAAAAATATCCAAATCAATATACCTCTAGGTCAACCTCACCTACTCCCTACATAGTGGACGCAGACCTGACTGGGCACTGACATCAGCACTAAAACATGTCATTTGCAGTGAATAGATGATGCTAAGTAGACCACGCACCTTAATAGACATTTCAAACAAATACTTGCCCGAATTCCTTGACTTGAACAAGCAGATGTTAGGAAGCTCGCGGGGGTTGAAGATTTACTCAATGCTCGTAGCAGTACAAGACCTAGTATAGCAATGCAAAAACAATCGGGCTGATTATTCAGAGCAAGTTTTCGAGGCGCTGTCGAGAGTCGAATGGACATAGCAATAGTGGCCGAGAACGCGAGCCAAATGGCCCTAAACATGCATGAGTTATATGAAACATCGAGTCGAGACAGAAATCAACTTACATACGAGACTATCAGGGACGGAATGTTTGTACTTAAGATATGTATATGAAGTTTGACATTTTTTGGGTCCGGTTCTCGGTTCAAACCCTTGCTGAACCGGAACCGGACCATTATTGGACCGAACCGATGGTCCGGTCCACAGTTCTGCTTACTGAGAGAACTGAACCGATGGTCCGGTCCACGGTTCTCTGAATTTCCTAGAGAACCGGACCGAACCGGACCTGTCCATCACTACCACCACCAACGCCCCCCATGTAGTAACCGTCCTCGTTAAATGGCAGGTCTTGGTAGTTATTGAGGAGGGAAAGTTCTTCTAATTCCTCATCGTCGTCACCAGAGACGACAAGGAGAGTGGGATCATCAGCGCCATGCTGAAGCATATGGAGCAAATCACAATATACACGCCACACTGAGTCACGGTCGACGATAGGATGGCCCATCTGCTCATAGCAAAGCTGAATGTGATCACCCAGATTGGGAGGCACAAGGTCGAATACGGGGTGGTCAGGTTTGATGTAGAGTGCCCGAACATGATCGATAGCGTTTTGTTCTACAGCGATCTGAAATTTTACAAAAAGTGTGATTATTAAAAGTGTATAAAACTTGAAGGACACGTTAGTAAGACATACTTTGAAGTCAAGAGCCCCAAAATCTTCAGGCGACTCATAGATGAGACTGGGAACACCGTGTGGAAGTACCTGACAATGAGAATCAGAAATTAGTGTCCTCTTGCTTGCAGTCTAGTACACTAGCATACCTTATTGCGATCACGCCTCTTTGCTGTATTGTTAATGCGATCCTGGTATGCATCGAGTTCACGTTGCAACCAAGGAATGAAAACCCAACGGAATACCATTCTGAAGTGGCAATCATTAGTAACGTTGAGATATCAGCAGTATTCCGAAAAGTAACTCACACTTGTAGAGTATTGTTACTATCGTACCAACCTTCATCAACTCCCCGGTCCAGTATTGATTCGAAGCCAGGAGTGAAGCGGCGGCGTAACTGGGACCATGTAATCTCGGGCATTACGTTCTTTTTCGACCGCATCCAACGATGCTGGAGTGTGCCTTGCAGCGCAGGATCATGCCATTGCCGTAGCATTGTATGGGCATTTGCAATGCCGTAGTTCTCAGTACCAGGGTCGCTTTGGGTCACCATAGGCATATCTAAATAGAAAGATGAGCTAGCATAAGTATTGAACATGATTATAGAACTACTTACGACCAAGCTTCTGGATTGTATCCAAGTAGTAGCTGAGAATGAGCTGTGGGTTCCTATTGGAATGCCATACACGGATCCACATGATGCGCCCTGAGAAAGGTTCGATTCCCACATATTACAGTGACCTATCTCCGTATAATACGAGGGAACGGACATGCATAATATCCCATATGATATGGGCCAGCGGACCATGGGCCCATGATAAAAATATCCTCGACTATGACGGATGGGCCGGGAGGCAAATTATTCCCGATGGAGGCGGGTGGGCCCATGCAGGGAATATATAGAGTAGATGAGTGGGCCGATGTATATGAATATTAGGTAGACGGGTGGGCCGAGGTAGTTGGATATTATGCAGATGGGTGTATTAAGGTAGATGTGTATGAGATAGATGGGTAGGTACTTGTTATCACATTCACGGGTGGGCCCAGACACATATTAAATTAGACGGGTGGGCTGAGGGTATTATAAAATATTGTATTAGACGGGTAGGCCCAGACGCATATTAATTAGACGGGTGGGCCGAGGGTGTTGTATGGGATGTTGTATTAGATGGGTGGGCCGAGGGTGGTATAAAATATAGATGGGTGGGCCCATGTGTATCATAATTGTAGACATGATGGAGCTGAGGTAGTTGTACATCAACCAAATCAGAGGAGGTAATAAATCAAAGTTACCGAGTTCCCGGAGCAGCAGGTGATCTCCTGACATGGCCTTTGATGGTGCACAGGTTGTCTTGCAGAATTTGGAATCCGGGGTGCAAAGCTTGTGTTGCCCTACGAGACACCAAGTTCCGACCACCCAAATTTGGGTCAACCGTACCGACTTCTGAGTTCCAGGACCCGGGAGTCGACAAATGAATATCTGATAACCAGCACACTTCCAATCAGGTAGTATTTCATTGAGCAATGGATCATCCAAGGGGTCCCTTATCGGACTCGGTAGTCAATATAGGCAAATGATAATGAAAACATGAAAGTTGTTATTATGCTATTTTTCAAACCCGAGACCCTGAAACCCATTGTTCAACATGTCCATTTTTCACTCACTGCACAAATCACCGAGTTTCGAGTGCCGAAACCCAAAACTCAAAACCCGGTGTGCAACACATCGATTGTTCATTTACATTACACAGATCATCGAGTTCCGAGTGTTGAGCGCCGAAACCCGAAAATATGTATGGAACATGTCCATTTCTTACTCATTGCACATATCACCGAGTTTCGAGTGCCGAAACCCGAAACTCGAAACCCAGTGTGCATCATGTCCATTGTTCAATTATATTACACAAGTCATCGAGTTCCGAGTTCCGAGGGACGAAATCCAAACCCCGGACCCCGAAAATATGTGCGCAACATGTCCATTTTTCACTCACTGCACAAATCACTGAGTTTCGAGTGCCAAAGCATGAAACTTGAAACCCAGTGTGCAACATGTTGATTTTTCATTTATATCACACAAATAACCAAGTGCCAAGTGCCAAGTGCCGAAACCCGAAGCCCGAGACCCGAAAATATGTATGCAACATTTCCATTTTTCACTTGTTGCACAAATCACTGAGTTTCAAGTGCCGAAACCCGAAACTCAAAACCGGGTGTGCAATATGTTCATTGTTCATTTACATTACACAGATCATCGAGTTCCGAGTGCCGAGTGCCGAAACCCGAAGCCCGAGACCCGAAAATATGTACACAACATGTCCATTTTTCACTCACTGCACAAATCACCGAGTTTCGAGTGCCAAAGCGTGAAACTTGAAACCCAGTGTGCAACATGTTGATTTTTCATTTATATCACACAAATCATCGAGTTCCGAGTGCCGAGGGCCGAGACCCGAACCCCGAACCCCGAAAATATGTATGCAACATGTCCATTTTTCACTTGTTGCACAAATCACTGAGTTTCAAGTGCCAAAACCCAAAACTCAAAACCGGGTGTGCAACATGTCCATTTTTCAATTATATTACACAAGTCATTGAGTTCCGAGGGCCGAGGGCCGAAACCCGAAAATATGTACACAACATGTCCATTTTTCACTCATTGCACAAATCACCGAGTTTTGAGTGCCGAAACCCAAAACTCAAAACCCAGCATGCAACATGTCCATTTTTCATTTACATTACACAAATCATCGAGTTCCGAGTGCCGAGGGCCGAGACCCGAACCCCGAACCCCGAAAATATGTGCGCAACATGTCCATTTTTCACTTATTGCACAAATCACCGAGTTTTGAGTGCCAAAACCTGAAACTCGAAACCCGGTGTGCAACATGTCCATTTTTCATTTATATTACACAAATCATCGAGTTCCGAGTGCCGAGGGCCGAGACCCGAAGCCCGAGACCCGAAAATATGTATGCAACATGTCCATTTTTCACTTGTTGCACAAATCACCGAGTTTCAAGTGCCGAAACCCAAAACTCAAAACCGGGTGTGCAA